GGTTGGTGGGTGTGTGGTACAATGCTCGAACGCATTTTTTTTTTAAATGACTGCGTGTACACGACCGGTTCCTAGGATGATCGTGCGTTGAAGATTGTAAAGGTGTAGCGACTTACCAAGCTTACGAGTGATCTGAGCAAGAGGGGCCGTGTTGTTGAGGGATGCGACGGGGGTCTCTCCTGCAGGGACTTACAATACACACGCATTTAGTACCAATGGCTAAGTGCTATCATCAGGATACCCCCCAAAATTAAATGGTACTGATCACCGATATCACAAGGAGAGTCGATTCTGCTTTCAATCCTCATATACCTTAAGAAATCTTTAATAGAAATCCATTTAGATATACGAAACTGAAACTGCTTTAGTAGAATAAACATTAGTAGAAGAATATATCAACAATCAGTTTACGTGCAGAGCCATAAGGAAGAGCAAGATATCAGTAAAAAGAGATACGGATAAGACCGCATGAAAAATATTATACTAACTACGATATAAAAAGCAAATAAAAGATAAACAGATCTTCGTAAACGAGAAAGTAAAATTAATTCTACGTGATTTTCCTTTATTATATGCCTTTGATAATAACTGCATTTTCGAACGTGATCCGATTGATCAAGAAGTGGAGGAATGAAAATTCGCTAAAGTATTATATTTGCCCTTTACGCGTCTTTTTTCTCGCATATAGTAACTATATATCGAATCTTATTATATAATTTTTATTACAATTATATAACTTTTGCTTCCTGTTTTTCACGAATGATTTATTCTTTAAATTCAAATACAATTTTTGGATTTTTAATAAATAATAGAAAAGGATTCGGTAAAAAACAATTATTGAACTAATCGTATTGAAATCGAAAATTTTAATAAAAATTGGGTAACGTAGTTGTTTTATAATACTATTTGAAAAAAGAAAAAAAAAAGATAGAAATATCACTTATAGTACGTGTATACAAAGTCCTGGAAAAAATAAAGTAGGATATCCTGAAATCATCGAATAATTAACTCTATGAATTGAACAATCTCTGTTTAATGTTTAAAAGCTTATATTACACAAATGGGCAAATAAAATTCATCGCAACACTGCACGAGACTCATATGAATCAGATTCTGTGCACTGGTGAGCGAAAGTATGAAATATATCAATTTGTTAGTTGTATCGTGTGTATCTGGGGTACCTTTGGCACGTGTGCGGCTCCAAACCTCTCTGCATATAGAACCAATTTCTTCGTTCGTTACCTCCAGAAGAATTTCCGTCAACGATCTCCGTACCTTTAACATCTATACCGAACGAAATCTGTAATATATCGAACCAAAACTGCGATCATCGATGAACTCGATCGAGATAATATTCACCACATCCTGCAGTATCTCCTCTCTTGTTCGCTTCGGAATAGCTATAGCCGTGTTAGATATGGTTGGACTTCTATCTATATGCGTATGCGCATCTGGCGAGTCCGCATCTCGAAATCGTGATTTCCGTGGACGAAGAAGAATATCTGGAGTACGTTCGAAACTCTTTTCAGTCACTTGTTGATTACGTACCACTTCGTCATCTTGTTCTGTCTCTTTCTCAGAATCAGAGTCCTGTATTTTGAAAGAACAAGGAGTTATAAAAAACGACATGCCTCGAGGATATTCGACGTGGATTCATTTGCGAGACTAGCAATTAATGCATTTACTCAGACACGTACAAATTTACTTTTACTAGGATTCAATACTGCCCGAGCTTCATCCTCGGCTTGCTTTCGGGCTTCTAACTCTTGTTTCCTTAGTATCTCCTGTCGTTCTCTCTCGACAGCTTTCTGTTTTTCTTTTTCCATCTTTTCTAAACCTTCCCTAATCCATGCTGGCAATTGTCTACGTTTTGCCGCGTCTAAGATAAAAGTAACTTCATCGTTTTACAATGGTACTACACGATGTTAATCACTGAATACGTATGGGCATTTATTAATACAATCTACTGGCCAAGACAGTTGTGCATTTGATTTTATATACTTGCAATTATTGGTGATTGTACCATTATTAAGATCCATACAGAAATTATTAATACATTTAATCATACACATTCTAGACTTACCTATGGTTGTTGTTGTATCTTCCTCGGGTGTTTTTTCCCTATCTTCTCTACACCTTACTGTATCCATGGGCCTCATGTGTGGTGCTCTGTTCGTGCATCTGACTCCTTTCATAAAAGGAGGTGGTTGAGGAGGTATTGTAGTAGGTGGTTCTCCAGACCAGTAGCTAGTTACCTAAATATGAAACACTTGTTATCTGTAATTTCAGATCCAATTTAGATTTCATTGTAGAATGTTATCAACTGCATAAACTGTTTTATCGCATGGTACTTTAAATCTTATCTTAATTAGGAAATATGAATAGAAGTTAAATTCAGAACATAATTCAAACTACAATATATCAAAACGGTATTTTCTCTTTTCAACTTTATAATACAAGTATTTAAGAAAGTAACGATACAATTTTATACATAGTTCCATTTTGCTAAGCCTAAATAAGGTAGGAAGTGTAGGAATCTCTGGATTTCTATATTATATTAGAAATACAATTTTAACCTGACTATAAGGTTGTGTTGGAGGTACTGAATTATAAGAATACAACGATGGTGTTGCTGGTGGTGGCACACTAAATTCTGACGTTGTCGATATAGTTGGAGCAGGTGGAATAACAGGCACTGTTGGAATTCCCATAGGTTTTCCATCAGAACCTATAGAAACACCAGGAGGAGGTACACCAGTCCATTCCCAAGTGCCTGTACCAGAACCTGAAGTATTCCAATGGCCCCACTGAGTCCACTGATTCCAAGCTTCAGCTGACATTAAACAAGACAGATTATGAAGAAATATTATCAACATAATTTAAATTGTCACTTAGTAAACATAATGGTCGTAAATACAATGTAGGACTAAAATCATTCATACCAAATATTTTTTGTAACAAGTATAATTAAAACAAAAGAAATCTTATACAATTGTATTGTACATAAAAGGCTAAAATTAAATAAAAAATTCTTTTCTTTTTTTTACCTGATCCACTGATTGTTGGTGCAGGCGGTGCTGGTGGTACATCATCTTCCTTTGTATCCATATCCATTGGAGCTTCTCCGCTACCATCGGTTCCAGGGCATATAGGATTAATAGAAGGTGGTGGTGGTGCTGGTGGCACTACAGTCTCTTTCATTTTGATCCATTGCTGAGCTAATGCTGCCCAGTCAACTGAATGGCGATCGAGAGTTTTGCATGACAATTAAATGATGTACAATCATGGCAAGAAATGAATCACATATATACTGGATACTGAAATACTTCTTATGCCATTTACCTTGATCGTTACTCATATTTTGGTAAGTGGAAGGATTTAGTGCCCACTGGGTTGGGTAATCCTTTCCCTCAAACATATCTCCACTCATTTTTTTCTCTCTCTTTTTTTTTAATCTATTAATGCCCCAGAAGAAAACAACAACTACGAATCAATGCACTTTAACCTTGTGTGTGTGTGTAGCACAGGCATTGATTAGCACAGGCATTGATGAGAACTTAAAAGACTACTGGATACAATAAATCGGTTACATGATGTAAAAATGCTTAGATTTCGTTACTTTTTACCACTTTCACTGCACCGATCAATGTTTTAATACACTTCGAGGCGCCCTGTTGCAATATATGTTACTATATCGTATGTACACGACGATTACAGACACGATTCGCGAAAGTTTATCGCGCTCGTAGCAGCGATCTAAAACATAGATTAGCATAACCTATCCAGGTTAAACTAACGCAATTTTACATTTTCTATGAACTTTTTCTTCACTTAATGTCTTAGGAAACTGCTGAACTACTTTACCGGAAAATATTACATCTCCACTTAACGGTGGCCGCGAGGTGTCACAACTTATACAAAGGTGAATCTCCATTAATGAGAGCGAACGCAGCGCCATCACTAACTTGTCGCTATATGGAAACGAACATTTGTAGAGGAAAAGAACGTGGAAGGCATCGCGCTGCGTCGTACAATCTTCTACCAAGTAATTATTATTTTCTTCAATTTATATAGCATAATTCAATTGTACAAATCATTTACAACCTTGTAAATTGTCACACGTGCAGTCAGTGATCAGACAGAATGATTTTATCGGTAAGAACATTGAAAATCATTCAATTCAGTTCAAATATATTGCGCTCTTTGCACTTTGCGCCAAAACTCGCCGCCATTGTACGTTCCATCTTCCGAAAATTCAAATATGATTTCGCGAGATTTACAGAAATTCGTCAATATTTTCTATCTAGAACTTTATTACATTTTCAGTGAAGTGTGAAGACGTGTTGCATTGGTCTCTAATTGAAGAACAAAACAAAGGGAGAAGTAATCATCATTTTATTTCAAGGCTTCATGAAAAAGACGGTAAGTCTTTTCTTTAATAATTAATAAGTTTTTATTTTACACATAGAGAAGTATCACTTGTGAATGTTCCAATACTTTCTTTGTAAGTTTCGTAATTGTTCTCCACTAGATTTCTCTATAAATATGTTACTTAATTATTCAAGCAAGTCCGACGAATTAAAATGGCGAAAGTCTAATTTAGGAGTTGAATTGCGTTGTCGAGGGTTGCGGCGTGAATTAATGGTTTCCATTAGTGGGGATGAATGTACCACCCTGTGTCAGGTGTTGTGCCACGCGGTCGGCTAGTCTTCTCAATCATATTGTAGCTTCATCAGCATTAACGGAACAATTGAGTTTTCGTAAATGCATCGAGAACCATTTCTCCTTGTTCTATAATTATTTAATGAAAAGTATTGTATCTCATGACTTTAGTAAATTAGAAAAGAAATCTATAGCGTAATCATTGTATGAAATATTTATTTCATTGGCAAATTTATTTCATAGCAATACATACGAGAAATTAAATCTAATATTTAAATCTGTTATTTAGATCTTATTAAGAATGTCAACGATACTCCCTAAATCTTTTACCATCCAATAATGTGTCTCGTCAATTGGCACACGGCAGAAGAACTGCAGTTTCCAGGAGATTGGAATTCTGACGATCACTGTTCTGTAAGTACTCAGCCTATATATGTATTGGTTACCCAATTACGTTCTTAATTACAAAATATTACCGACGCGTACAATTAATGTTCTCCCACGCAACAGCAGCTAGGCTGAATATCACGATTCTGGATTTAATTCTGTTCTGTTAATGCAACGGATTTCTAAAGCAAGTTGTTGAGTTAATAAAGACGCTGGTTGAATTGCGCCGGTTTCACGTTTGTGCGCCGCTATTCAGACAATCGGGCACAATGCCACCAGTTTGTGCCCTTTCCTCTTTTTGATCCGTCCTCGGCGCGACCCTTAAAAGTCGCGTGGAAATATTCTCATATCGGTAGCGCAATTCGAGCGTGCTGGATCGAAATTGGAACGTACAGACCTCGGAACATGATCACCCGATGAAAATAGTTTTCTTCATACTCAACTTACCAGAGCCGGAGGAATACTCGAACCATCACAAAGGAGTTTATCTACGAGAAAGATAGAGCACAACGGAATCGGCGTTGCGAAATCAGTAGAATAGATTTAGGTTAAACGTTTTATCGATTGCCACGGACGCTCCGAAGGAAGCGGTGTGTTTCATTCGGCCGGATTCTTCAGTGGACACCTGAGCAAGTCCTTAACCGGTTAAGGATGTCAAGGAAACGATGAAACTTGCCTACTAGGCAGTATGTATAATTCATTTGCCCGATTTGGCATAGCAAAGAAATACCACACGCACCGGAAATCACAGAAGAAAGATATAAAGTTACACACTGGCGTGCGTGCACGATACCGTGGAGAAGGATATTCGCAAATTCGACGGTCTTAGAGCACACCGTATCGATTTACTTACTTTCGTGACCTAGAAATAGACAATTCGTATCGACATTTTCGCACGTGTGCCAAGGGATGCGTTCTAAAGTTCGCGAACAGCTGAACCAGCTGGATTTCTCGCACGGGTTATGTCATGAACTTTATTACGCTTCATAATGATGTATACATGTAGGTGTTGTGACTCTGTTCGATACTCGTAAAAGTCTTATATTGATCATTACAGTACAAACGTGCCAACACGTACTCGATAAAACTACAGTCGTAAACGAGATCTGACATTGATTATTTCTATCACCGAGTTTAACTTTAAGAGCCAGAGATTATAATGACATTATTGTTATTTAAGCGGGATGATGAAGTAAATTCTATCACGAAGTGACAGTCGAGTCTCAATTAGCATGTTTTATGCAACACGTTGCATCCATGAAGTATCAATCTCTGCGTTTCGTATGATTGTAAAGCACCGCTAGTAAAAGGCTACCTCGTTACATTCGACAGAAGTCATTTCACGGTTCTCGAATATCGAACACGCCAGCGAGTTTCCCTCTCTTCGCCAATAAAACGGCAACATGTGCTTTACGCTTGTTTTATAGCCATACCAGTTTCAGAACTTTTTATACCGTATTTCAGGCATCCGTGAACGTGGACATTAACACGGCTCTATATTATACTGTGTGTTGCGATACGTCAGATATATATGTGTAATATATACTCTGTAAATTTTCCTCATCGATTTCGTCAAGAAACTAAGCCGCCTAAGGAAACTAACTCAATACTAACTTTTATTAATTTATTCTCTTTGCATGAACTTTTTTATCTCTAATGACATAAAAAAAAAATTTAGCTTTAAGCATAAAGGCAACGGTGTAAAGGCTGTCGGAAAGAGAATTCTTAAGAATAATAAGATAACAACTTATCTGGCATTGTAGTTCATTTTAAAATTTTTTTAATTTTAATAATGTACGAGATCGATTTTTAAATTAATTTTGAAGATGCAAAGCATAATATTTGAAGTTCCAGATTTCAGTCCTAACTAACTCGACGGAATTGATCAATTTAGCTTCTCCGTGGTTCGATCTGAGAAAATCCACCTGCATCAAGGTCAAGAAAATCAATTAACATTAAAAAGAAACTGGTAAAACAGCTGAGCACCACTGATACGCCACATTTTTACCTCGACAATTTCTTTTTCGATCAGCATGATCGTTCTGTCGTCTCTCTCTCTCTCTCTTTCTAGTCAAGGTGTCTCCCCACCAGATTTCACGAGTAAAACGCTTACCTCGTCTCACCTGTTTTCTTAATTTCTTGACGCGCATTTGCGATTTTCGCCGCCCGTCCGTTACATTTACCGGAGCGAGATCGATAAAAGTCAGTGAAATACGCGGCGAATAAGCCGCGTCATCATCGATCCGTCTTCTTTATTACTCGAAGCGAATAAATCGATGCACGGTCGCGAGCAGTTTTTTTTCCTTTTTTTTTTATCGTAAATTTCAACATCGTGCAGCGAATTAGCTTTATCACGGTGATAACATTCGGTGAAAATGTGCCACGATCGATAAGCGTGCGGATTCCGTCGACTACCGAACCAGCTGCTTTTTAATTCTTTTGTTTACTATAGAATGCGAGTTCATCGAGGCGAATTAATCGGTTCAATCGCACCGCATCGCGTCAAACTGTGGATCATGTGAAAACGAAAACGAGTATTAGCAAATCGTTAAATAATTTGGAAATTAAGCGTAGATTCAGTGACAACGTATTAATCACGTTAGATCAGACGAGATGAATGAACTATCACACGACGGTTTCGTATGTGCGTATACGCGTGTGATTTAGTTGTTTTCTTTTTTCTTTTTATTCTTCAATTTGTATCGTTTCTCAATCGGGAAAATGGTGATCGGTGAGAATTGTAGTGAACGCGGTGAAACCTCGAATTCTGTGTGATTTACAATCACTGGTCCTCATCACGATCGCGGTTTCGATGCCGCTCAGTTCATTTCCCTGTGATTTCGTCTATTATTCGCAAAATGTTTTACAAAGTGCTATAATTCGCTTTGCTGTATTGGGAACCAACTGATTTTCATTCTCTGATGGACCATGTTCCGACTATTGTATAAACATCTTTTCGTCGCCACGTGGTATTGTATCTGTTTAAAGTCTATTGTTTTTACGCCAGTGATCTTCCTTGTGAAATTCGACGCACCATTACCACGATCGTTAAACATTGAAAGGCGAAGTTCTTTGAAAATACTAATTTGTCGTTAATTATGGAAACATGTGATATAGACATAGTCCGAAGGTTTAAAGGATACAACTTGTCGTAAGGCAACAATCGTTGGAAATACCACGCGCGTAGTTTTTTAGTTTGCTTTTTGCTGGTTTTTAATCTAGCGAACTTCGCTCCACCTTGAATAATCTTATCGGCGTATTCACGAACGTAGCAACGCATTACGTGGTGCATCGATTTAACTGGCGCGAAATTTTCAGCGAGAACGAGCTTAACGAGGCTGATACCAGCGAGTTTCGTGGATTTTCCCCTACTCAGCTCTGCCTGTCTATTTTTAACCGACCCGCCGCTTTATCGCTTTAATATCAATAAATTACCATTCCATTATAAAACGTGGCACGGATATCATCTTGAACGGGTGATATACTCCGTTATTTATGTCTTTGTTGAGAAATTATTTTACGACGTTATAGGTTTCCAACAACGTGAAAAATTGTACTTGCGAACTGTACGTTTCCACGTTCCTGGCAACGGTCTTAATCATCGTTAATTGTTGCAATTTTTGCGGCGCTATCGAGGCGCAAACACATTACCGCTCGTGACGCTCATCGTAAGTCGGTGATAACGCTGTGATACGCCGTTACCTTTACGATAGTGTTAATTGCCGGTGACGAAACGCGATCGTGCATGTATTCGCGTTTCACTCGAACGCTAAAAATGTTGTTTACCGCTAAAAAAAAAAAAACCAGTGAAACGTTCATTTTTTAGGCAAGAGTTACTCCTTGGGCAAAATGTCCACAAAGTTTTACATTTGTTCCTACCCTCGAGTGATTCGAGATCC